ACTGACTGACTGACTTGAGCAAGGCATTCGACAAGGTTCCACACAGACGACTTATTCAAAGCTGCATCAAATGGGTATGACTGGAACTCTACTGAAACGGTTAGCCACCTTTCTAACGGGTGGGCGTCAGCGTGTATATATTTGAGACACCAAAACAGAATGAATAACCGTTTCCAGTGGGGTTCCGCTGCGAAGCGTTCTGGGTCACATTCTGTTTCAGTTATATGTGAACGACTGTCTTGATTGCCTCAACCGTGCGAAAATCAGGTTTGCATACGATCTAAAGAGTTGGAAGTCAATCAAAAGCTGGGAGGATGGACAGACCTTACAAAATGACTGGATCCCTTGCAAAATGATGCGAAAAGTGGCTACTACAGCTCAGTATCAACAAATGCCAAGCCATCCACTTGCTGTCTAGTCGCAGTCAGATGATACCATTTCTGTATGGCTACTTGATCGAAGGTTAGGAACTCGGGCAAGTGAACGAACTACGGGACCTAGGTGTATGTATGACGCCCAACCTCAAATCATTTACTCACTGTGCCGAAACTGCAAAGAAGGCTATGGACATCCTAGGAATGATCAGAAGTTATTTCCTCTATTTTAATGCGGAGCTTTTTGGGCGTGTCTTCGGAATATTTGTTCGGCCGATATTAGAACATTGCATCCAGGCGTGGTGCCCCTGGATGAAGAAAGGTTACGCAGTGCTCGAAAAATTTGAAAGAAGGGCGACCAAATTAGTCAACGGCTTAGGAGGTCTACCGTAATAAGGTCAACTAGATAGGCTCAAGGTTTTTCCTCCCTTTTATAGGTAATACAGAGGACAATGATCATGGTGTCCAAACTCGTCAGGTGAGTAGAATGCGCTCTTCAGATGGCTGATTTCTTTGAATTCGCACAAACGACATGTCTCCGAGGTCATCCGTACAAACTGAAGAAACAGATGCCAAAATAGAAGTGCGGGCCAAATTTTTCTCCCAGCGGATCATTGAAGACTGGAATAAACTTCCTTACTCACTTGCTCTTGCTGAAAGCGTTGACGCATTTATAAGAAGACTCGATCTTACTTCACTTCCTGGCTTTGGAGCACATGCATGATCTAACAGCATCGATCTGTAAATAGGGTTTTCAAAGGCTCTTTCTATCTCCCTTATACATACCGAAAAAACAGCTTCAACTGCATAATTCTATACCTCCGTCTAAAATTATTTAGCCGTTATGCAAGCAGATGTAAAAATACCTCATGGAAATCATATGTGCCATCAGAAATTAATATGTAACTCCCTTCTGTTAACTGAAGAAATCTGGGTAGTTTTTCTTGCCAATCTGATTACACTGATCGTTATAGTCACCGAGTAGGCGCTGCTTATGATGCGGTGTGTGAATACGTGATTGGTATACAATCAAGGCTGGTTCTAAAATTAATCAATATGCGATGATTTTCAGACCGAACATTTTCCCGGAGAAAGACGAAACAACTGACAAGTGGATAATGGATTGCCAAGTGTCAGATGGATTTTCCGATCTGTCTGAGGATCCATCAAAATCTCCCATCATGAAGATCGAAGGCCGGGATGATTTAAGCTTAAAGGCTCTTTTTTCCTCCTCCTCCTTCTTTAACCGAACGAATACACTCGAGGAATTTGAGGCTTCTTCCGCAGTGGAGAATATTGAAGAGAGAAGTGAACGTTTGCCATCTGGTCACAATTCGCCTGTGCCCCATAAGCAAATTAGTCAAGTGGCCAAAAGACCCCGTTCAGCGTCTACTAGGTCTCGCCGGTCATCTTCGAAGAAAAAAACGGATAAGACGGAACATGAAACTCGGGCTTCTATATCCGGATATATATCTCGAAAGATAAGACCCGACTCTATTTGGCTGAATCCGATACTACCGACTCCGTTTAGAGAAGCTGGAATTGTGTGGAATGGAGTCTACAAAAGGAAACCGTCACTTGTGTTTTCGCCATCAGTTATGGTGACTCGTGATACGTTTGTAAAAATTCTGGTTGAGAAACTTAACATGTCCTGCAAGGTTAGCAAGAATGATTGTAAGCTGCTTCGAACTCTTCTGTATAGCCATGGCCTAACGGAAATGCAGGGTTACTCCAATGAGTTTAATCTTCTTTGGACAAGCAGTCATTTAAAACCCTCCCAACTGAAATGTCTTTACGAATTTCAGAAAATTAACCATTTCCCTAACTCGTTCGAGCTAACACGAAAAGATAGACTAGCAACGAACATACAAAGAATGCAAATTTTAAAAGGTTTTCATAATTTTGACTTTGTTCCGCGAACATTTGTGCTACCCCAGGATTATCAAGATCTACTATCAGAACATACGAAGGAGCGCTCTGTATATATTGTTAAACCAATTGCTTCTTCGAGGGGGAGAGGGATTTATCTTGCTACAAACCCTGACAACATTTCCACGGATGAAACTGTTATAGTGTCAAGATACATTTCGAATCCACTACTCATCGACGGTTTCAAGTTTGACCTGCGTCTCTACGTCGCTGCGACATCTTACGATCCCCTAATAGTCTATGTTTATGAAGAAGGTTTGGCAAGATTCGCGACGGTTCGCTATCAGTTTGGAGTTCGGCACTTAAAAAATGTATGCATGCATCTGACAAACTACAGTGTTAACAAGTTGAACCATGATTTTGTCCATAATGACGATGCCGACGTAGAGGACTTCGGAAACAAGTGGTCGCTGGGGGCACTTTTGAGGTATGCTCCTAGTGTTGATCTTATAAGACGGGAGAGTAATCAATAAATAGCATTGTAAACCAAAACATAAAGACATTTTAATTTTAAACTTTCCACATGTGTTCACAGTGCAGTTTGCACTTTCTCATTTTATAAAAATTGTAGCATGCTAAAAAGATAATTTCAACTCGAAAAGATCGCATAGTATTGGTGTAGGTTTTATTTGACCTGCTTTCAGGGGCAAAAGAAGAGAGCTACCCTTT